ATTGGTAGACATTTTAACGGACTTTCAAAAGAAATGAACATCGAAATGAGTGCATACTATTGCAAATTAACTTTGTGTAGGTAAATAAGGTTCTTTACAGGCCTGTTGCGCTATTTATATTGGTGGTTTTTGTATTAATGTTTGTACAGCATTGATTGAAGTAGCCGGCGAAAACATCGTAGTAGCCGATTGAATGCGCCGGCTCTTAAATAAACCCCTGAGTGATATTTTCCTGATGCAAACTCGCATCAATAACATTAATTTGCAGTACCCGCTGCTACTTGAGGATCGAATTTAACACTAGTCACTAAGCGCAAGCTCAGTAGTACAGTGGTTATGGCACCAGGCTATCTGGAGGTCGTGGGTTTGATTCCCGCCCGAATCACTTGCGAATTTCAAGTTCGAATTTGCATGCAATAATTTCTTATATGTATATTTTTATATAATGATAATAATTTATTAATGTATTTTGCACAATCATTAAAACATGTTCAAATGCGAATTACAGTAAAATAGACAAACATTGTGTGACAATTTTATATTTTCATATACTAGCCATCCATTCAGCCATAATACTACTAGTAATATTTTCATTATGTTGTTGATATTATGATATCCAGATATCAAGATTTTTGCATTGAATTTTCATGCAAATGATTTTTTTATATGTATTTATTAATAATAATAACATAATAATAACAATTTGTTTATGTTGTGCAATCATTAAAATATTTTCAAATGCGAATTACAATAAAATAGACTAGAATACAAACATAGTGTGAAATTGTTACATTTGCATATTTTCATCAAAAAATGCTGCACTATGTGAGTAGCCATCCATCTGTTGATAATAGTGCTGGTAATATTTTCATTTTGTTAATAATTATTGTGAATATCCCTAACAAGAATTTTGCATTGAATTTGCATGTAATGTTTTTTTCTATATATATATATATATATATTTATAAAATAATATAATAATTTATTAATTAAATTATATTGTGCAATTCCATTAAAATATGTTCAAATGCACATTAAAATAAAATAGACAATAATACAAATTTACAATATAAAAGAGACAGTTAAATATATGAGAAGCTAAAATTCTAACTGTAATTGGCAATAAACTTCACACGCATGTTAAATTCCACATTAATCAGATTGGCAACGAGCTAGGCTAAAGTGTCAATTACTAGCAATAATAATAATAAAAATTCTACATTACTTACTTTCCTGATTTCAATTGGTAAAGCATTCCAGGTTGGAAGCAGCATATTGAAAAGCATGGTCGCATATAGTGGCTTTAGTATGACAACTAGGGCAGCTCTAGATTATGTCAGGACTTAGTGATAAGCAGACTTTGATATTTGGATTTTAATTCTAAACATTGCTGGACGGCAATGCAAGGCAGTAATAATAGTCTGATGTGACAACATTTGTGTTTGTTACAAATAAGTTGAGCAGATGAATTTTGCATATTATGTTGAAGTTGATTTAATTAAAATGTCTGGAAGGTCATATAAAAGGCGAATGCAATAGTCTAGGCTGCTAGAGCTAATGCGTGAACAAATTTTTCAGTACATTTTTGTATATTATTATTATTATTATTATTTTATTTAGCCATCATTTGAAAATGATATCTGGCCATCTCATAGGTGCAATGTCTATTCAATGTTGTGTCTTCTCACCCTATTTACATACCAAACTTTACCTATTTAAGTTAAGATTTAAGTTAAGATGTGTATATCGAGAGAGCAGCTTAGCTCAGTCGGCTAATCTGGTGGTAGCCACTGTGTGTGCGCTGAACCGTGGAGATCTCTAGGTCCCCGGTTCAATTCCCATCGCTGCCTCTCCTTGTGTTTCAGCTAGAGGGCTGAAATACAAGATACAGTAGCGCACCGTCTTTCGGATGAGATGTTTAAGCTGTTGGTCCCGTGTGCATTTATGGCCCATGTGCATGTTAAAGAATACACTCTTCGGAAAAGAGTAGGGGATTGTCTCCCGGTGTGTACTGTCCAATCACCACCAGAAGGACCCCACTGGAAATAAGTTTTCTTCTAGACTTTCGTGGGCTATCCTTGGTGTTTACACTGAATAAATCCAATCCAATCCATACATTTAATCAAATATTTTCAAAAGTGTCCGATATTATGTAAGAAGTATTAAAAAGGCAGAGCCACAAAATTTGGGGACATGAGATTTCATCTACATGAGCATCAATCCAAGAACCTAAATTACGATCAACAGGGACAGGGGTTATAATAGACTGTCCAATTTGAATAGAGGGAATGTTAACTTATATAGCTGTTGGCAAGTACCAATAATTCAAGATTATTTTAATATTAACCTATTGGTACGCATCCATGTGCGCTGATCATGAATACAACATTCCACTGCTGATGAAACCGTTAACTGATCATTTCCAAATTTAAAAAAAAAAAATTACTGAGGATACAATTATTTATTAGTTACTAAATGTGATTGTAATTGATTTGCAGCAACCTGCTCCACTTGTTTAGATATACAGTATACTGCAAATTACTCACATACTCAACCTTTAAATCAAGGCCATGTTTTTTCAGAAATGGAAAACCAGCGATGACAAACTCAACAAACAACAGACAAACTAAACAAACAACAGACAATCTCAACAGACAAAGGATACACTCAACAAATAAAAGACAAACTCAAAAAAATAATTTTTCCCATCCAACAAACTAAAACCAACCATTAGCAGACACCACCAGTGAGCAAGGAACAATTTCCCATCTAGACATTTGTCGTCCATCAACAGACAGACTTATCATAAAAATTTCATAGCCGCCACAGGCGAGTCAAGGACTGTTTGCCATTTGGACATTCTTGCCCAACAAACTTAAAAACTGGCCATCAACGAACTAGGTCAACAAAGAACAAACTCGCCAAAACATCGAATCACATTTTGTTACAGTCTCGAAACAGTGGTATAGAAGTATTACTACCACCATGCTCATAACGATCATTAATTGGTAAGTTTAATTTCATCACAACGGTATTTCTTAACAATGTAAGTCACAGTCACAACCTACTCTTTCAATGCCCTAAGTGTTGATGATTGTGAGGAAGGTATGTTGGAAAATGAACAGTTGAATGCACCAGCACGAGTTGGTATGAATCAAACATTTGATCTTCCTAAACTGAAAATTGATAATAAACGTGATGACACAACTTCTCGGCGATTCAATACTAAAATTAATTAAGACCAGGCTTATGTGAAACGGCAGTTAGGACATTGAGAGGTGCCAATGTTAAACAAGTTTGTGATACCATAAGTCAAATGGATCTCAGCAATGTGGAAAATGTTATACTACATGTTGGTACCAAAAATTGCAGTGAAGTGGATTTCCATTTGGATAGGCTAAAAGAGGATTATAAATACTCTCATGAATAACTTGTGCCTTAAAATGCAAGGACATATCTATATTTCAAGCATTTGTCCCTGTCTAGATGATGCGGAGATAAATAATTGGGTATTTCAAGCAAATAAGATGCTTCAATCAATCTACAGTGAATACTTCATAGACCACACATTCACTTCAGCGCAAGGGATCAAGGCTGTTAAGTTTACATCACATGGTCTCCATCTCAACAAATATGGAACATCAGCTTTAATAAACAGTATAAATGAAACCGTGCCTATACTGTACTTTCCCATTTAAGACAAAACAGAGGTTAGAGGGCCGACACTCATACTCTAATGTACACTGTCATTACTGTGGTGAAATTGGACACACGCATAGGGTCTGGTACTGGTACTGATACTTGTAGCCGTCTGATTTCAGACATTTGGCAGCCATTGACATTATGTTGGCTGTTGCCACTTGTGGGTTTTCTAAATGTTAATATTGGACTCATAAATAGCACACGGGACACAGACTATTGGTACTCGTGTTTATTGGATCACACGCCATGATCGAGAACCCCGGACGAGCGTTGCCAGGACATTACATATATTTCACTACATCTTTCCTCTTTTTTAAAGCTTTTTTGCTTTTACTTAAAGATTATATCATTAGTTATGTTTTCAGATGTATTGTATTCTATGCGAGTATATTAAATCTATACTAACGTTATTATTATGAATCTTGTTATATTATTCAGCTGTATGGTGTACCTTCATTAACTTTGAACTTTAAGTAACTCAACATATATAATTTTAAACTTGTATGAATTATAGATAATTAAGTATTAAATCACATAACATGTCATTCTTCTCTATAATTATTAGTGATTATATTCCATATGAAACTTTAACACTTTCATAATCATTTTCCTGCAAGAGTTCAGCATGGTTTACTGTTGTTATAAAGATATTTAGTCATATTGTCCATTGATTTATAGTGTTATATTATGGCATATAGTCTTAGTCAGATATTTTGGAGGTTTCACTGTTCTTCCCGTTCTGGTTTTCACGGGCGAGGTTTTCGTAGTAGGGTGGTCCACTTGTTGCTGATGTTGTGTTTCATGCACTTGTTGGTTTGGTGTTTGTGCTTTTGGCCATGGATGGATTACTGGGTCATCCAAGTCAGCAATGTCGTCATCACTGAAGTTGCTGTTGTCATGAGATACTTTCTTTAGATGTTTCCTATTTCTCCTCAGCTGTTTCCCATTCTTCAGTTTCACACAATATGATCTGTTGGGCAAGCACCTGATAATCTTGCCTTCCAAGTTCCATTGTTTGTCATGAAATCGGAATATCCTGACTTTATCTCCAACTTGAAGTGGCTTCAAGTCTCTAGCTGATTTGTTATACTGTAACTCTTGTCTTTCTTTCTTTCTCTTTATGTTTTCAAACACTCCTTTTTCTACCTTTGGTTTCAGGAGCTTTGAAGTGGTTGGTAACCGGTTCCTTGTACGTCTGCTCATCAACTTCTGTACAGGGCTACTGCCATCTTGATCCGGTGTGTTGCGGAGATCCAATATCGCCAAATAAGGATCCTTTTGATCCGCTTTTGCCTTTTTCAGTAGCCTTTTAGCTGTTCTAACTGCATTTTCAGCCTTGCCATTGCTCTGGGCATATCCTGGCGATGAGGTTTTATGTTGAAAATTCCATTTCTTGGAGAATTGGCTGAAAAGCTCACTGGTGAATTGTGTTCATTGTCTGATATAACACATTCAGGAATTCCATGTCTTGCAAACTGACTCTTCACTTTTCCTATGACTGTCTCTGACTGCAAATCCTTCAAGTAGTCAATTTCCCAGTAATTTGAAAAATAGTCTACAGTTATCAAATAATTTCGGTCATCTAGAAAAAATATATCCATTGCAACCTTAGACCATGGTCTCCTGGGAACTTCATGTGATTGGAGCGTCTCCTTTTGCTGTTGGTCCGAATTTTGTGTACATATTTCACATCTCCCTATATAGTCTTTGAGTTGTGTTGTTATACCTGGCCAGTAGACACTCTCTCGTGCTCTTCTGATACTTGCTTGTATCCCTTGGTGAGCAGCATGGATCTGCTCCATCATATTCTTCCGTGCTGCAGGTGGAATAAGCAGTCGCTCTCCTCTGTAGATCAGGCCGTCATGTGTAACTAACTCATCCCGCAAGTCAAAGTAGTTGTGAAGCTGCTTTGGGACCTCTTGTTTAACTTGAGGCCATCCCTTCAAGATTATTCTCTGCAAGTCTTGCATATCTGGATCACCTTGTATTAGTGTGGCAATACCCTTCAGTGTGCCATTTTCCAAATTTAATGATTCCATCATGTTCACAGCTCCCATGTCTGATTGATCATTAACAGTATCATCAGTTTCTGTTAAATAAGCTCTGCTCAGCGTGTCTGCTAAATACATACTCTTCCCAGGAGTATAACATATGCTATAGTCATACATTGCCATGCGCAGTAACATTCATTGTAGCCTCTTTGGAGCTTTATGTAAATACTTCTTTTGGATCATTTCTAAAGGCTTGTAATCACTCTGGATGTTCACATGTCTACCATATGTGTAGGTGTGAAATTTCTCTAAGCCAAACAATGCAGCTAAAAGCTCCTTCTCAATCTGAGCATATCGGGTTTCAGTGTCCGTCAGTGCTCTACTAGCATAAGCCAGTGGGTGTCCGTCCTGCAATATCGCTGCCCCTAAGCCGAATTCCGAAGCATCTGCTTGCAAAACTAGCTCTTTGGACGGATCAAAATACTGCAACACTGGGTGCTTAGTTACAGCCTTTTTTATCTGTTCCAGTGCCGCAGTATGTGTCTCTAACCAACACCAAGTTGTATCTTTCAATGTCAATTGACGTAGTGGAAAACACATGTCACTGAGACCAGGAAGAAACTAGCTTAAGTAGTTGACAAATCCCAGCAACCTCTGTACTTCTGCCACATTGGCTGGCACAGCCATGTCCATAACTGCTTTGATTTTGTCACTGTCTGGCTTTAGTCCCATATCTGAGATGGTGTGGCCCATGAATTTGACTTCTTTCAGACCCAACTTTAATTTCTTTTCATTAAGTTTAAGACCTTTATCACTGCATCTTCGCAATAGTCTTCTTTAATTATCATTGTGATCCCTGATTGCTTCTTGCATGGTATCACCTTTACCAAAAACCAATATATCATCGGCTACCGATCTGACACCTGGTAACTCTTCTAGAAGTTGGTTTTGTCGACGTTGGTACTCTTCCGGTGCGCTACTAATTCCAAACGGCATCCGTTTCCACCGGTATCGACCGAATGGCGTGTTAAATGTCGTTAAGAAAGAGCTTTCATCATCTAGACGTACGTGCCAAAATCCATTTTTCGCATCCAACACACTGAAAATGTGTGCTTTGTGCATGTCTGGTAAAATATCATCAATAGTCGGCATTGGATAATGACTCCGTTGTATGGCTTGGTTAAGATCCTTGGGATCAAGACATATTCTAAGTTTATTCCCTTTATCCACAAGAACTAAACTTGACACCCATGGAGTAGGATCTGTCACTTTAGTCACAATGTCTTCTTCTTGTAACTCATCTAATGTGACTTTTAGTCTGTTTTTCAAAGCCACCGGAGGGTGAACTACAGGTTTCACATTTTCATCTAAGTGAATTTTATATTCACCCTCGAAGCATCCCGTACCATTAAATGTATCTGGGAATTCGTTTTTTAAGTCTTCAAGAGTTAGTGGCTGAACTTGTGCTTCTGGTTGTTGCAGTGTCATCACATTTTCAGCTCGTATCTTTAGCAGTTGCATTCTTAGTGCTGTCTCTGATCCTATTATTGGTACACATTTCGGATCTTTTACCACTATGAACTCAATTTTATATTTCTTATTGTTCTTTGGGTTGTTCACCTTGAGCTTGGCCTTGCCTATAGTGGTCTCAAGATGCTGCCATCATACATTCTTAGCACCTTTTTAGTGTCTTCAAGGCAGTGCTTAATTTTGCTTATGATATGACTAGGTATTATGTTGCATGAGGCTCCCGTATCAATCTGAAATCGTGCTTCTCTTTGATAGTCTTCACTTCCTCCTAGAATCATTGTGGCTAGCAAAGTGCTTATCATTACCTAACTTATTAATTGGTATTTCAATAACCACGTTTAATTCCTCGTACTCGTCTGATGATCTTTGATCTTCATCTAATACATGATGCATTTGTCTCGTCTTACACACTACACTAGAGTGATTGTACCTTCCGCACTTTGTACCTTTCTTGCCATAAGCAGAACATACATGTCTACTTTTTGCATGTTTCTTTCCACAATATCTGCACTGTATGATTACCAGCTTATCTTGCTGAGGCTGTTTATACTGAGGCTGCTTATACTGAGACTTCTTGCAATATTTTTGTTTTGTTTTCTTTGATAGTGAACTTGTTCTTCACTTGTACCTGAGATTATCTTTAGTTGCTGACTTGTAGCTTCATTCACTCTCAGTGCTTCAATGGTTGTCTTGAGGTCGCACTCATCCTCCCTTCTGAATAACCGTGCTCTTGATGCAGTATCTTTACATCCTAAAACCAACCTGTCTCGGACCATCTCATCTTCTAGTGTTTCAAACTTGCAAGTGGCTGCCAAGTGACGCAGACGATCAACAAACTGCTCTATCGATTCCTCAGACTGCTGTGTTGCAGAATGGAATTGAAACCTTTCATATAATACATTGTGTTTTATCACAAATGCTTCGTCTAGTGCAGCTAATATTTGTTTTGGGTCAGCCATCTGCTCTGCTGAAAGTTTTAGCCCTTTCAGTACTTTTTTGCAATCTTGACCCATCAATGATTTCAGTGTTGCAACTTGGATGCTTGCATCTTTTTTATTTAGCTCTGTTGCAGTTGCATAATCTGTGTATGATTCAACAAAGTTTTTCCAATTACTTTCGGTAGGCCCTTTACAGTTCATGGGTGAAGGAGCTGGAATCAAGTATGAGGCCATCTCTCTATACTGTACTGTATTTTTTAAAAAATTTTTTAAAAATCCAAATACACACACTAGTACGTGCCAACCTACTTCCAGCTACTCAATCCACCAAAAATAGGCGACAACAGGAAGTATTAGCGTGCTCTAGGCGGATTTCTTCAAAATATAATACCGCTCCTATTGCTAGGCCTAGGCTCCGAGTCATGAAATCTGCTTCGCTAGGCGGTCCACGATGCGTTCAACTGCTCATCGGCCTAACGAGCGTAGAGGTGGTGAAATGTACTCACGGTTTCTTCTTATAACTCTGAAATGTTACACCTCTCACGGTCCTCACGTCGATCATGGGTGCTACAACACTTCTGACACCATGTTGCCACTTGTGGGTTTTCTAAATGTTAATATTGGACTCATAAATAGCACACAGGACACAGACTATCGGTACTCGTGTTTATTGGATCACACGCCATGATCGAGAACCCCGGACGAGCGTTGCCAGGACATTACATATATTTCACTACATTGGCATTAAAAGACTGCGTATTGTGATGAGGGACCTGTGTACAAACAATTACCAAGCACAAAAAATATGGAAAACTGAATGCTATTTACAAAATATTCTATTTAATGCTTATGGGTGAAACTTTCTTTGATAAATTGGCTTCTATCAAGTTGATTTTCATCTACGACACGTTGAAGAGTAGATTTGGTTTTCTTTCCTCTTGTTCCGCTGGTTATATATTGAAATGTGAGAATTTTACATGGATCATCATTTGGTCTTCTTATAACATGACTGATCCATTTTGATTGTTGGTCTTGATAGAAGGTCCTAAGTGGCATGATGTTTGTTATTTGATACAAATTTTTACAAAAATCCTATGCACCTCCAGTCATATTCATCTGTTGTTGATTGTTGGTCACTGTCTGTTTCAATGTTTCTGGGTGCTGGTGGATTAACTCGTTCAAAACCATTTCTAACCATTTGTCGAAGGAAGTTATTGTGTAGATTCTAGTTTTGATATTTCAGCTATTGTGGGTCACCATGCATGGCATCCATAAGTAAGACGGCTTCTTACAAGTCCATTGAGAAACTGGGTTCTAGTATGTAGATATATGTTGTTATTTAGAAATAACTTCCTATTTTGTGCAAACGCACCTTTTGCTGAGTTTATTCTGTACTGGAGTTCATGTTGACCAATGCTCATAGTGTTGCAACTGATCCATATACCAAGATACTTGAAAGATTTAACATTCATGATCCTAGTGTCATCAATCTTTAGGAAACTGTCGGGATATGTGCCTTCCTTGTCCTCAGACCAATTGTATATCATTGTGTTAGTTTTCTGCATAATAATAGAAAGACAGAAGTTAGTAAAGATTCTGTGTAGAATAGTAACCATCTGTTGTAGATTTTCGCTTGACCAGCTGCTCAATGCTAGATCATCTGCATATCCATATTCGGCGTCATTGCAGGTTCCATTAGAGGGTGTGCGTTTAGTTGCTTCACTTGGAATTCTGAATGTGATGCAAATGCTGGAATGTTTAGAAGATTTACATTGATGTTTGAAAACTTTTAGGGCATAATCTAGGTACAGGTTGAAGAGCATTGGACTTTCATTTCCTCCCTGGCGAACACCAGATGTTGCTGGAAATACTTCTTCAGGGTCTCCTGCTAGAAATGACTTGGTAAAGCTGTATAGTGATTCAAGAATGTTAAGTATGTTAGTAGCTTGACCTGGTGCTAATCTGTTCTTGATGCTTGCAAAAAGAAAGTTTCTATTGATGGGATCGTATGCTGCAGATAGATCAATGAAGCAGACATAGAGCTTTTTGTTGTTTCTATATGCTACTTCTTGTAGTTGTTTGAAGACATAAATTGCACCATTACAACCTTTTCCTTTCCTGTCGCCATGCTAAACCAGTAATCTGTTGGAGGTGCAACAGAAGTGGACACAAAGCTAAGCACTGTCAAGCTCAAGATGTTTGAAATTGAAATGTTGTAAGTAGAGACAGAGCAAAACACAGTAAAAAAAAAAAAAAAGTAAAAACACAGGAAAAAGAATGTAAACAACTCTATCAGTGCACACTAATGAAAATACTGATAATGTTGTGCCAAAGGTTAATAGGATTATAAATGCTTCTGATAATACTATACAGGAATCCTTTGATGCAAGCAATATAATAAATTCCAAGTTTGATTCTAATAGTAATAAGCTTAATATTTTCTATTGCAATATAAGAAGTGTTAAAAACATATGTGACATTAGTGCCAGATTTAGTTCCTCATTTTATGACATCATAGCTGCTGTATTTCAGAAACCTGGCTTGACGACTCCATATATGATAGTCAACCTTTTAATAATGATTATACAGTGTTCAGGAAAGAGAGGAAATCTCAAGGTGGTGAAGTATTAATCGCTTTAAGAACATCCTTACAACCTTCAGAGTGCCATG